GCTGCTGGCCGCTCATGCTGGCTGCTGGCTACACACAGTAGCCCATGGCAACTGACTACAGCAGGGGCTGTAGCCTACGCCGTCGCCGGCAACTCAAGGCAGCCCAGCTCCAGGTTGAGCTGTTGTTCAGCATCTTAGCTGTGGAAGGCAGTGTCACTGGCCCTCATATGTGGGATCCGAACCGGGGCCCTCTGGCGTCCCAAGCCAGTTCTTAACCATCACGCCACTTGGCCGGCCCTAAAAATATTTTAAAATGCCCTCATTTGTTGGGGGGAGGGAATAAAAGGTGGGGGAGGCTTGATAGTCGGGGTGGTCCCTGGGCTAGTCCCTGCTTGGAGACGGGTGCCAGCTAGGCCCTGCCGATGACCTCGGGTCGGTTGGTGCTAGCGTGGGCTGGGTCCTGGCCCCTGAGTCACCCTGCCTCGCCTGGCCTCTTCCTGCCTGGGGCTGACTATAGCTCGATCATCTCAGCTGAGACAACCCTCTAGTTTTGGAAGGGAATTTTCCTGAATGCCACCAGTTAAGCTCTTCGGCACTGAGGTTTGGCTGTGCCACTGCAGGCCTTGCCACCTTCCTGTGCTTGGCACCCTCCGCAGGGGGCACCTCCCCTCCCTGGCCCTCCCCTCTCCCATTCCTGCCTTGCCCCCTGCTCTGCCCACGGAAACTGGCTTCCTGTCTTTTTGCCCTCCTGCCCAGCAACGCTTTCCTGCTGTCAGCTCTCCCTCGTGCCCATTGCCAGGCACCAGATGTTGGTCTCTTACCTGCTCCTGCCCCGGCCCTCACCAGTGCCCCAGATAAGAGCCTTCCCAGCACTTTCCTCCTCTTATGCTGTGCTGACCCTCTCAGCGCAGGACGCTGCCCCACCTTTGGAGGGAACACACCGGGTTTTTCCTCTGATGGTGTAGTCGCAGGGAGTCGAGAGCCGGAGGGTGGACACCTGCCATGGGATGGGGCTAGGGCAGGGTTTCCCAACCTGTACTAACATTTTGGACTGGATAGTTCTTTATTGGGGGGTCTGCTCTATGTATTGTTGGATGTTTAGCAGCATCCCTGACCTCTACTCACTAAGACTCCAGTAGCAGTCCCCTCCCCACATTGTGTCAACCAAAAATGTCTCTAGACATGGCCAGATGTCCTCTGGGGAGCAAAGTTGCTCCCAGTTGAGAACCACTGGGCTAGGAGATGAAAGCACTGTCTCAGGCTTGGCTAAGCCTGTGCTGGAATGGACCTGAGAATTCTCTAGTCCAAATCCCACATTTTAAAGGAAATTGGGCCTCAGAGAGCTGAAGAATCTCAAGGTCACCTAGGGGAGCAGTCTGATGAAAGAGGCATTTTAGAAAAAGGATTCAGACGGCTCAATGCAGTCTGGGCTGAAAAACAGGCCAGAGGCAGGGCGAGGAGCATGGCTGGGATCTGGGCGTGAGACGGGGCGTGAGATTGGTGCCTTTCACCTGCTGGGGCTCAGGGCACACTCACAGTCTCCTTGGAGTGGCAGTGTGGAAGGGACCCTGTTCCAAATGCCAGGAAACCAGGTTCTGAGCCCATCCTGGCAGTGTGGCAGCTGCAGTGTCCTTATCTGTAAACTTAGGGCCTGATGTTTGTGTTTTCTTCCTGCCTGGGGTCTCTGCTGATTCTGGGTCATCCGAGATGGGAGCACACGTCCATCTCAGCAGAGACCCCTGAGGACATAGAAGAGTGGCCGTGGGGTGTGCAGTAACCCCTCGTTGCCCTGTAGGGGCCTCATTCACTTAGCAGACATTGTGTATGACGCCTTTCTCCCCACCCCCTGACTTAGGTACAGGCTGTGGGTGGGGTTGGATGGGGTTGCCCTACCTGGGGGCAGCAGATCTCCCCTGGTGTCTAGCCTGAGACACGGCAGGACCTCTGACCGGAAGTGTGGAGGGAAGCAGTTAGGGACACCGATCTCTCAAGGTGATGGAGGGAGGCTCCCGGTGGGTCCTTGGGAAGCTTGCAGACTAAATCACAGAACATGCAGTACAAAGTCAGAGAAGCAGTGCTGGGAGAAATGACCAGCTCCCGAGAGCTTCTGAGCTGTTGAGGTTTTCCTAGATGGAGGCCCCTTGAACTCACATCAGTTTCCCCCAGGAGGGAAGTGGAGAATGGAGGTACAGAGGGGACCCCACCAGGCCTACTCCCAGTGGGAACTGGCTTCTGAGGAAAGCTGTACTCTCTGGGGAGGGTCCTGGGGGACCCTGGCATCTCCAGCTGCAGGATGGTGGTGGCACCCTACAGCTCTCGGGGTCCAAGGCCAGCTCTTTTTAGCAAGTTCCTCTACCTGTAGGGAGTGATCGGGCAGCAGCGGGTTTTCCTCTTATTCATTCCAGGTTCTGGCTTTTAGAGACACAAATCTTCAACATGAAGATCATGAATTTCCATGGTATGATTAATGAAAGAAAAATTGAGCCGGCAGCATAGAAACTGATCAGATTGAAGAAAGTCAGTGACAAGTTGGATGAAAGTTTCAGCGCCTGACTGGCAAACCCAGAGCTCCTGACCTGGTATAGAGCGCCACCTAGTGGTTTCAAGGGGTCATTCCCCACAGCAAAGCTTAGAGATGCCCTTTTGGGTGGATGGATGACCCGGGCGAGTGTGCCCACACCTTGGGGGCCTTGCCCTAGTGCCACCTGGGCCTGCTGCAGGGTATCCGATGTGCAGGACCCCTCTCCACAGTATGGGGGTTCAGGCAGCTGCTCCACTTACCGAACTCCATCCCCTCGCTGCTCCTCTGAAGTTGCTGGTTTAGTAACACGTGGGACTCTCCCCTCTTCTTTTGTCATGCCCAGTCTGGACCCCCTTTGTTCCCCCATGTATCAAAGTCCTGATCACTCATTGAAGCCCGGCAAGCCCTGTCAACACTACCTTCCAAATAGATCTCAGATTAGACCATTTCCTACCACTCCTGTACGCACCTGGTGCGGGTTGCTGCCAGCCTGGTCACCGCACTGCTCCCCGGCTTCCCGCTTGGCCCTTGCATTGTCTGTTCTCTCAACAGCAGCCAGACTAACCTGTTGAAAACGTAGTTCACGTCATTCCCCTGCTCTGGAAGTGTCCCATCCCTCTAAGCACAGCACCCACATTTTCTTTCCCGAGGCCCACGAGGCATTGTCTCATCTGTCCCCTGCCAGCCCACCTGTGGGCCCCCTACCACGTGTCACCTCCTTCACCCTGTTGGAGCCACGTGGGCGCCTTGCTGCGCTGTGGCTGCCCAGGTTCACTCCCACTGCGGGGCTTTGCATCTGCGGCCCCTCATCTAGTACACCCTTCCCCCAGGTATTTTGAGACTCACTTCACCTGCTCAGGTGCCAGCTTTCCGAGAGGTCTTCCGTGACCACTTTGTCCCCAGTTACTTTCTAACTCCTTAGCCACCTTTATTTTTCTTCACAGCACATGCAAGAACCTGAAATTCTATATGTTTGCTCATGTAATATCAGTGTCTTGTGTGGGGATTCCCTCTGCATGAGGGTGGAGCCTTTATGGGAGCTTTATGGCTCCCCAGCTCTCAGCAGGGGCCCAGCTTATTAAGTAGGGGCTTAGTGTGGGTTTGCTGGCTCCCTGGTCCTCACTGCTACATCCGCGTCTCCTCTCTGAGTGAGAGCAGCTTGAGGGCAGGCCCGTGCTTGCTTCCTGGGGGTCACAGCACAGCTCCTTGTGCATAGGAACTGCTCAGTAAATGCCTTTCAGTCAGGGCCACCCACTCCCCATGCTTGCTTCCACTTAAACTCTTACAACAATCTAGAAGGTAGGTGCTGTTATTCTCATTTGGCATAAAAGGAGTTTGCAAGGTCGTACAACCAGGACAAGCTGGAGCTGGGTGTTAGGCCCAGCTGGCCTCCCCAGTCCTTACGCTTGCACTTCCACCCTGCATGGGATGTTCTTGCCCTCCGCCTGCCTCGCGTCCACCAGCAGTGAGGGACTGCCTCCTCCAACTGGCATCTCGGACCAGGGCAGTGATGGCCTCCTCTGAACTCCTGTGCCATTTATTTGGCACCAATGTATACCGCCAGGGGCGGGTGTTGCTTTTTTGTCTCTCCCGTCCAGCTCAAGCAGAGGCCCAGGAAAGGCAGGTCTCTGAAGTGCTGGTAGCTGTCCTGGCACAGGGTGCTGCATGCTGTAGGTACTCAGTAAACTTCGGTGGACTGATTGATTGGCTCCTCAGACTCAGCAGACATACTCGGAGCTGCCAGGGCCAGGGCCATGAGCATAACACAAGAAGGCAGACGTGGAGGTTTGCAGCCAATGAAACTGAAGCTTCCTGGGTGGAGCTGGTGGTGTCGGTGGCCCAGGGGTGCTGTTGAGGAGAGTCGGCATCTCGGGCCCCTAGTGCTGGTTTCTGGCTTACCGGATGGATGGCGGAGGCAGTGATGGGTTCCTACATCCTACGCGCTGGCTAGCCCCTCAGCCAGCCCCTCAGCCAGCCCCTCAGCCAGCCTTAGTACTTTTATTTTCCCATCTGTGGGAAATTTGTTCCTCAGGCTCCAGAGATCAGTGGACAAATGGTCCTTCGGGTCAGGGCAGCAGGTCACAGTCACTGGAAGGCCTGGCTCCGGCCTGAGGCAAGTCCTGACTTGCTTCCCGTGACCACCACGTGCCCCTCGCCTGGACTCTTTTCTAACCTCCAGGGCCTTTCCTCTGCCAAGTGGAAAAACTGCAACTACTAATATGCACCTAGGACCTGCAATATTTGTCCCATGATTCTGCCTGTAACTTATTTAATTTGATCCTCAGAGTGACCCTATGGGGTCTGTGAAGCTAGTATAACCCCATTTGCCAGATGGGGAGACTGAGACACAGTGAGGATGAAGGGATTTGTTTGGGTCACACAGCTGACATGATTTGAGGCTGCGGCCGTATCTGACCAGTAGCCCAGTTCTCACCCTTTCTGTGTCTCAGAGTTGGGGGTCGGGATGTGGGGTCATTTGAGTTCTGTGGCAATGGACGCAAGAGCAGTGTCCGTCTAACAGGCTTTTCTTTCTCTCCAGCTCTGTGGCTGTGGGCTGCTTGGAGTGGGCATTTGGCTCTCCGTGTCCCAAGGCAACTTTGCCACCTTCTCCCCCAGCTTTCCCTCGCTGTCCGCAGCCAACCTCGTCATTGCCATGGGCACCATTGTCATGGTGACGGGCTTCCTTGGCTGTCTGGGGGCCATCAAGGAAAACAAGTGCCTCCTCCTCAGTGTAAGTTGGACCCCATGTTCCCAACCCTCTGAACTCTGGACCACCCTGCATTAGGGCCACAGAGACAGGAAAGGCCTGGGGACATAGCTACCTGAGACCAGGGAAATTGCTTCTAGAATGTTCTTTGTCCAGTCACACCCCTCTTCCTCATGATTGGCTATTCCTGCCCTAGTTATCCTCCCACTCCTTGATTGGCTGTCTTTGTCCCCTCCCCCACCTCGCTGGGTTTCCTCAGGAGTAGTAGGTGTCCTGTCCTATACCTGGGAAGCCCTGTCTAGGTGCTGCCTGACCCTGCCTCCCTGCCGTCCTTCTTGTGTGTACCCCGTCCCTGGCTGCGGCCACCACCGTGCGCCCACACCAGGACCTTCTCTTTCCAGTTTTTCATCGTCCTGTTGATCATCCTCCTAGCAGAGCTGATCTTACTTATCCTCTTCTTCGTCTACATGGACAAGGTAAGGCTTACAGAAAGGGAGGGGCGTATAGAATTTCAGTGCCCTTGGGGTTGGGCCAAGCTGGGGCAAGCCAGAGGAAAAGTGCTGATACGTAGTACTGGTGAGGAAAGGCGAATGGAACCAGAGAACTAGATGGGGGCAGCATGGAAAGGCAAGTTTGGGACGGTTTATTACCTTTTGTACCTTAGGAAGTAGAGTCCTGTAAGTCACACAGGCATGCAATGGGCTGCCTTGGCATTAGTGAGCTCCCCATCGCTGGGGGCATTCAAGCATACTTGTGTTGGCCACTGGGAGAAGGGATTCAGACCTTACTAGGTGGTTGGACTGGGTGATTTGAGGATAACCCATCAGAAACATGGAGGAACTTTGCAGGTGACACCATGAGTAGGGCTAACAGTGGAGGGTAGCTATGTTTCCTTTTCCAGAGACCTCTGAGGACAGAGCGGCTGCTCCCAGGCCACACCTTGGGGTTTGGGAGGATGGTGGGGGGACCCCTGGCAACCTCGCCAGACTAGAGAGTTCCCAGTCATATTGGAGAACTTCTTATTGATACCACCAAGAATGGCTGGCCCAGCACTCAGTGTCTCCCTCAGGGCTAAGCAGGCTTTTGGATGCACTGTACCCAGGGACTAAGTAGCTGTTTGTTCCTTAGATTCTTGAAGTACTTGCCCCGCACTGAAAGGCAGAGTCCCTATTAGGATTCTTTTGCATTTATGAAAGGGAAGAAATAATAATATTCAGAGATCCCTCCCTCTGTGCCAGCTCTGTGCTTGGCTGTTTATAAAAATTGGTTCTTTTAATTCTCACAATCCCAGAGGTAGATGTTATTATTCCAGTATATTGCAGATAAAGCAGAGGCAAGAAAGGTGAAGTTACTTGCTAGCGAGAGGTGGACCTAAGATCAAAATGACTAATCTGCCACCCTCTGGTTCCCAGGGTGTGTTTGGACAGGGGTGGCATGGGGGAAGATGTTGTGGGTGGGGTGGCAGAGTGGCCTGTGTGTGTGGCTGGCCTCTGTGCCTCTGAGTGTTACAGCCCCGGCCCACAGAGCTTAGCTGTCCTGGGAATCAGCAGGTGCAGTCAGAACCTCCCCTGCCCCCAGCAGAGCCGACTCCCAGGGCCTTCCCCTTGTCTGCAGGAGCAGTGGCCAGTAGTCCTAGGCGACTGGGGCAGGTTGCCTCCCGGTCCCAACCATCCTGTCTCACCTCCATCTGACAGGTAAATGAGAACGCCAAGAAGGACCTGAAGGAAGGCCTCCTGCTGTACAACACAGAGAACAACGTGGGGCTGAAGAATGCTTGGAATATCATCCAGGCCGAGGTGAGGGGTCGGGCAGCTCTGCCCACTGCCCGCAGCAGGGGCCAGGCCAGGC